ATTTTAAATGGTCCTTAATCATGTGATATTATATTAATAAATAATATATTGATAGCGAGGTAATATATTATATAGTATACTAGGTTAATATATTTTATCTATGTTATATAAATCTATAATAATACGCAGTGCTTAACCTTATTAAATTTCGTACCTACTACGCACTATATTACTGTATATAGAAACTTATATACATAATAGGTATATAAATTTGTATTCAATTGATCTACATAGGTCTCATAATTCGGTGCAAACCTACAAATCATCATTCTATTAAAATACATAAAGTACAATAGTACAATACGCTGCAATATAGCTGCAGTGACTGGTACTTATAATCCAGGACCGTGCCCTACAACTGTTTTCGGTCCTGGTCTATGGTTATTGATTATTATTGCTGCAGGTACCGTATTTCAAGTGGTCCAGAGACGGCGGGACGTGCCTGGGACAGCCGTCCTTGTAACCATCCGGTGGACTGAGCGTGGCTGGTTGTTCCTCGTACGGGTCGAGTGACGGCATGCCACGACCGTCGTCATCTTCCAGCCACGGCTGGAAGCACGTGGCGTCGCCACAGCTGCACGGATGCTGCGACCAAAAGTCAAAGTCCTCCTCGTCGAACTCGCAGTCGTCGTCCCGGATGACAATAACGTAGTCTGACTCGAAGAACACGTTCAGGCTTTCGTTGAACTGCACGTGCCGCTTGTGCTTGCCTGACTTGGCCGCCTTGGAGCTGCCACCGGTCGCTGTGCGTTTCAGCGCCGATTTCTTGGGTCTCGGCTCGCTTGCACCGTTGCATAGCTGCTGCTGCTGTAGTTGCTGTTCGTCTGTACCGGACGGCGGCCGCTGTGGTTCGTCTTTCTTTTTCTTCTGTTTCATGACTTACTGGTGGTGATCGTCAATCGGCCTTCGACGTCGCGGCGTTCATGATGGGTCAATCGTCGTACCGATCAACAGTCGCTGCAGCAGCCTCTGTCGCCGTCTCCTCCACCACCACCACCACCACCACCGCCACCACCTCCCCCTCCACCGAGGCTTCCGCCGCCGCCGTCGTWCTTGGCTTCGCTACCGTCCCGCCAGCACTTCTCGTCGGCGACGGTACACCGTGAACAGTCTGCGTCAGCGGTCACAGTGAAAGCGTAAGTATATTGGACTCTATCAGCACAAATACAACGCGCGACGGTGGACCTTAGGGACGTGACGGCCGCGAAATCAACTCGAAATATTGACACTGATACATCGATCCGCAACGACAACGATACTAATTTATTGCGACGGTAAAGTATTACTAACTACGACGGTCGGTCACAGTAAATAAATGTTTATTTTAATATAATAATACATCCGACGTATGTGTGTGTGTGTGTGTGTGTAGGAGTTTGAGTGTGTGCAAGTGAGTGCAGTTTGTATGTGTGCAAGTTAGTATTTGTGTGTAAGTAAATGAGTTAGTGTGTGTGTGTGTGTGTGTGTAAGTGAGTATTAGCGGTTTTTTCTGGCACGGGATCGTAGCGAACGTGAATGAGCGGCGGACTGCGTTTCGTCTGTAAACGACGCGGCGGCAAATCAGATGGTGTACAGGTCGATAATGCCGAGCATTCTCGTTACGGGCGCCGCGACGCCACCCCCGCTTTAGCTGCTACCCACCCTCATAAGCGGGATCGCGCGCGCGTGTAAGACCGTACGCAACGCAGCAGCAACCCTCCACGCCACCTGCCGATCATCTACGACCATTAGCATCATTATAATATATTATTGTAGGCGCGTGTGACACGCCGCGATACAACGGTGGCTGTTTCGCGACGATGCGCGACCCGATCGTCGTATGTTTATGTTATGCAAAGTTTATGRCATAATAAATCACCGTATTATATTTACCACCATTTATTATAATGTATATATATGTGTTTATCAAACACCTACCACGAGTTTCTTGATTGTGTTCGGTCCACGCAGAAACGACGACGAGATCAAATATATACAACTACCTATACAATATGATAATTCTAGAGTATTATATAAGTAGTGTTCGTGTTTCGTTCAAATCCTGTGTATTCCTCCAAAAGCATTGATTGAAAAGTTAAGTTTACGTTTGACATAATATCAAGCACATCCGCAGGATAAAATCCCACCCGGGGCTGCAAGATCAAAATTCTAAAACAAAATCAAAAARATTATTTTAAATTTTAATATATTTCTAGTATCTTCACTCTAAAATAGCATAACCTAAATACAAAAAAAAAAACATTATGCCATCACATAATTCCCTGATATGTGTAGGTTTACAATAGAATATTAATATTTTTTGAATACAATATGTTAATATGCCAAAATTTTTGCAAGCCATTTCAAATCATTACCAGGCTACAAAACTTTTTTTTGAGGGGGTCAAGCGGGGAGAACATTTTTAGAATATTTGTATTGTTTATTAAATATTATTATGTCAAATACATATTATGTTGAAAGTATCACAATTATTACTATTTTAGTCTAACTATTTATACTKTTATTGTATTTATAATTTATACTTGGTAAATAAATGTACAAGTACCTTAAGAATAAAATACCTAACCGAATCTAACTAATACATTTTTTGCACGGTACTCAAAATACATAATATAAGCTAGCTTAATAAAACCTGTAATTTATTGTATGAATACCCTTGTTTACAATGGCACAATAAACAGTTATAAAATTAATAAAATACAACACATTAGCATAATATTTTTTTTTTAAATACTGAAAAAATATAAAATATACACATAGAGTAAAACAATTAGATGTATCGGCGTATGTGTTTATTGTTGGCAGGCCAAAGAAGGCATTCTAAAAAAATTTGGTGAAAATATACACTCTACAGCCCCCCCCCTCCCAAACGACGCCCCTATATTGTAGTGAATTTTCAATCTAAATCATCACCTTGGAATTAGCGAGGGTTCTGTAGTCGATTTAAAGAATCAAAATATAACAGACGTTTTAATTATTGATTTATGTTCCATGGTATACGTAATTATTACTTCTTGCAGTGGATCACATAGGTAGGTAAATGAGATATATAATATGGTGATGCCACGTACTATTTACTTACCGGTCACCGTTTACCTCTAATACCCGTATGATGACGTAATTGTATAACAAATATTTTACTTAATGTATAAGTAATAATATATTTTTACGTAAGCACTTGTAGTCTGTAGACTAGTAGATAATTCGTCACAAGCTTATATGAGCTATGTTATTCATTATAATATTATATCCAATATTTTTCTGTTACATTAACATTTGCACGCAGTTCTATTCAGTTTAGTGTTTTTAATATTTTTAAACCACGTTAAGATAATTATAATGGGAATTGTAGAATTTATATCAAATACCTTATGATCTTCTCGGTTTGTTGAAGGCGAGGCAACCTTCAACATTTTTTCAGTATAAATTTCACCTTTGTTTATACCTATATTATAGATGGTAGGTTAAAAATTAAAATTCAAAATTAATTTAATATGCATAATATATACAAGTATGTATAAACTTTATAATACGCTAATACAAAAATGAAAATATTAATGAAAATTGAATTTATTTACTGTTACTTACAAAACTGTTCAATATATTTTTCGTCATTTTAAATTTAGTAGGGTACATGACATTTTATGCTTTTATAGATTATATTCTCCATTCGTATTTACTCTCGTTCAATTAATTTCCCTTGATACACTCCATCCTGAATAGCCTCGTGCAACCCCTTTATAGCATATCCTTTTTAACTGTCCTTCCCTCTCCAATACTCCACCCTTCTTTTTTCCTTTTTCCTCTTTATAGAGTACCTACTGTTCACCCGATCATCCGTATATTTAAATTCTTCAAACTAATTTATCAGCCACAGGCGTAACTAGGATTAAAAAACTAAAGGGGCTAAAGTCCTAGAAAACCTATAAAGCCAAACGAATAACCTGTTGGCGCAGAGCTTTATATACCCCTCGTGGCCTCGTTGTCAATGTCACTAGAATTTAAAAGTCACAATAAATCCTCAAAAATTAAAATTAAAAATAAACCATAAAATCAAAGCGTGACTGTCATTAAACACAAAATGTAAAAAATAAACTAACTATATTAAATTAATTAAAGAGAGATCACTAATCTATTTTGGACCAAAGTTGATCTAATGTATGTTTTAATTTTTCATATACATGAAAAATAAAATATTAATAACCCATTGTATAGGTACGTATCTAAAGCTTGAAKTATACACATAAAAATATTGTTTTTTGTAACCAATTATCAAGAAAACGAGTATCAACACAAATACATGACACAACAGTATAAATACATTGCATGATATAAATCTATGAATATTGATATAAACAATGATAATAAGTCACTTTGTACATTATTCATACCTAATATTCCATTTTTAGCCTTAATCAACCCAATACCTAAACCTTATAGTTTATATCATGATGAACCTACACAATAAATTTCTTCTGCGAAAACTAGAACCAATTACGACGATTAATATTGATGCTGGTACATTCACAATATCCAAATGATATATTATATAGGAACATGTAATATACTTAATTATCAACTACTAGTTATATTTTTTTTTCTTCGAAAGGGTTTTGGTTCTAATTACAAGCCCGAAGAGGAGCTAAAAAGTAAGACCTTATAGAGGCTAAATGCCAATACAAGGATYCAAGTCCTCTCCACCCTCTCTATTTATGTCAATCTTCTTGACCTTCCTATAATCTTATCTTTAATATATTTTATAATAAAGGTTGGTTTCCTAATTTAAATTTAAATTTTTTTTGATTATCTACTATTATCTGTTCTCGATTCATTGTAATTGTTGTGTTATAATGTTTTTCTTTTAAACAAAAGCAAATACAAAAACAAATATAAGTATATTTAGAAAATTATATTTTTGGCATAAAACATTTATATCCTCCAATTATTCTGTAATTCACAATTAGATAAATTTAAAAAAAATTGGTCGTTACAATTATTTAAGTGAAATGCAATTACATGAATAAGAAATTATTTTCCACACAATTTTATCTGGAATCTTTAAAATGGTATTATATAATTAACTAATTATTATAATATAATAGCTATTGAGCGTTAATTTTTTTTTTAATTAATGCTATAATTATTGATTTACCTATGTATTTACAGCGAAAACGTATTTTACACTAAAATGACTGTCTATGATGTATACAAAGAGCTGAAACTAAATAAAACCTTAGTTAGATATTTGTTACCTATAATCGGGCTATATGGCTATATTATGAGTACTTGCTTCTGAGTAACATTTTTGGTAAGCCTACGTAGACTTTTTAACCATCAACTGTCCTAATGTGCCTGTGTTATATATTTTGCATGTTATTAATTYATAATTCTGTTGTTTATAATTTCTATATTTATACATAGGAATGTTAATCGTCTTCTTATAAACTTTGAACTTCGACCACTTTCATTTATAAGTAAGTTATACTTGATTTTTCAATAATACCTATACATCTTATATAGTATATTTATAAGGTTTCTCAAGATTATTTTAAGTTATAACAAATAAATAATAATTACATAAAAATTAACGAAATATATATATATATATAGAATATAAAGTATAATTATAATTATGTCAGATATAATTCAGTTCCAATAGGTAGCTTTCGATGCTTTCATCGTTATATTTTCAAGATTGAAGTGGATGTTCTTTTTAAGCTTATTGTCTGCATCTTTAGTGAAGTTGTGTAGATTGAAAGTGCCTTCGTAAGTGCATACATCGTATTAAATGATGGTTATATGTATATATCATATATGAGGAATTGATGACGACGGACTGCAGACGGACCTCGTCAATACACAGAAAATACTCGATCAATGTTATCGGCTTGGAAACGTACTAGCTATTTATGGCATCACAGGAATCTAAAATAAAACAAAATCTAAATAATGAAACAGGTCCTACCTATCTACATCTTAAGTGATAATTAAATATTTATGTAAGACACTGAAGTATGGGCCATATTTTTCAGTTTTTAAATCAATTATCATTAATAATTTTGTAAATAATATATTAATAAGTTGTTATTAAAAATTAACAAAATGGGTAGTTAGCCAGTTCTAGAATATGCTGTCTAAAGCTGGGTTTTTTATTTACTTTGTATTGTTTTCCAAAACAAGCTATTCAATACGATATGTATCATGTATTTTTGAATCAGAATAAGAGGTTATTATTGTATTAGATTTTGAGTGGAGTGATGCGTGTATTGATTTTACAATGATGTTTTTTTTATCATTATTGTTTATTTGTGTCTGRTGTGTACCTACACGATAAGAAGTCAAAATAATGATTCCATTTTCAACTTCAGTATCTTTTCCGCAAGGAAATGAATCTATTTGGTGCATTCCATAAGTCAAAATTTAATCTTCTCAGTAGTTTTGAAAAGCACTGAGGAAAACAAAAAAACTTTACGCAAAACTGGTTAGGTTAAAACAAATAAGACTCTAAAACAAATTACTGTACAATGTAGGTACATACATGTTTTATGCTAGTTCAATAAACTTGGATTTATGTAAGATTCACATTTATCCTTTAAACTTTTTTTTTTTTTTTGATAAATTCAAACAMTTATGCTTATAGCTTATCATCTAAATTTACTTTTCTATCAGAAAAGATTTTAATGTCGAAAATTGGAGTATTTCAACTACCCCAAATATTGATGATAGAAAAAAACACACACATATC